TCACAAAAATATTCACAACAGTCTTAAGGATTTCAGCCAAAAGGAAAAATCCTTTCAGTCTTAAATTTAAACCTCAAAATTATTCAGAAGACGGATGTAAAAATCCTGATCTTGGGGCAACATCTGTTTGTTTTACCGTTATGTAGTCATCTGTCTCATAGTGTGTTGCTGGGCTTGAACAGAAACTACCTTTTCTTCCCCCTTTAAGATCTTTAATCATTTTGCTCCATGGTATCCAGACTCTCCATACCTCTGCTGTACTAAAGATGTCAGTTTTCCTGATTTTGCAGTCAAATTTTTCAAGGAGAACCTCAGTCATCATGTGGATTTATGAAGACCATACTCAAGGGACTTATCAGCGAGGAAACTTGTCAAGTATTTCTCATACACTGACTATAAATCTGTTAGCCTCTCTCCAAAGTTGCTACATTCTTCCATTGTTTATGTAGGGATTTAACTTCCATCTTATGCAGATAGTCTTGATATCTATGGGATGATGGTTTAGAGCAGGATTTTAGAAACAATAATTTGTCATTTTTAGTAGATTTAAAATTGAAATTGGTATTTTCTGGATCCATATGTTAATTTTTATTTTCCAGGACAATGCCAGTGTGAAGTCTTCCAGCAGCTTAGAGCCAAACTTGTTTTGTGATGAGGAAATCCCCATAAAATCAGAGGAAGTGGTAACACACATGTGGACTGCTCCGTCATTTTGTGCTGAACATGCATATTCTTCTGCTTCTAAAAGCTGCTCTCAAGGTACTTGCTTTTCTCCACCTTGAAAAAGGGTTAAACAGACATATGAGCAGTCAGTAAAGGGCAATGTTTTGTTTCTGCTAGTTGTAGGGGGGTGTATTCTGTGTAAGTGGGGATGGCAGTGTTCAGTTTGCTTGAGCAGATGCAGTAGAGTCACACTGCCATTTCTCTTTGATTTTATTCTGCTCAATGCTTACATGAGCTGTCTCCTGTTTGAAAGCTTCTAGCACCCCAAGGAAGCAACCTCGGAAGA